CCTAAACCCTAAACCTAAATCCTGAAGCTCTGAACCTGTTCTCCAGGCCCTTGTTCAGCCTGGTGACGTCCTTGCTCTTGCAGTCCTCGGCGAAGCATCTGAGTGACATCCTCGTGCGCACGACGCTGGAGGTGGTGCAGAACGAGCAGGGCGTGGACCAGCTCGTCAACTCCGCCAGCGAAGCGATGCGGAAGGTCGGCGAGTGCATCGCGATAACGATGAGTGAAGATTATGGTGATGCTTATGGTGGTGATAACGTGATGATGATGATGACCATGATGATGGTCATGATGGTTGTAATGATCAGCAAAAGGGTATCATTATCTTCACCACCGTCCTGAGAAAGCAGCAACAGCAAGACGAATAAGAATGATAAGAATAATACTGAAAAGGAAAACAAGAACAATACAAAACTCAGTATCAAGTACAAAACAGCAGCAATGCCAGTAACAGTAACAATAACGATACAAATGAAACGAATAATAAGATTTCCTCGGCGATGGTTGCTGGTACATTGGTGTCTGTATGTTCACACCAGTACCAATTTTGTCTTTTTTCCTGGCTTCAACGGCCAGAAGTATCATGCTCATAACACGTTGTGGCACCATCAGTATCAGTTGGGTTTTCAGTGCGGAAGCTTCTATTTCAAGACAATCTTTTCGACTATCGGGTCCAGGCTGCCATGATTCAGGGCTTGCGGGTTCGGGCTTAGGGCGTAATTAAGGCCAGACCCTCAACTCCCTAAACCCTGAACCCCTCAACCCCGAAGCTCCTAAACCCAAGCCCGACCCCTCAACCCCTGAACCCCCAAACCCCAAACCCCTCAACCCGAACCCTCAAAGACCCCAAACCGTCAACCCTAAACCCTAAACCCTCAAAGACCCTAGTTAAACCCTAAAGGCTGCCAGGTAGGATTCGGATCCTTCCATGGGGAGCTCCAAGAAAATCCTTGAAGTCTTGGTTTAGGGTTTTGTTGGTTTCATGTAGGGGCCTTACCCTAAACCCTATAATAGGGTTTAGGGTTCAGGGTGGGGCCGTAGTAATTCGAAAAGGGTTTTGGGGGCTCATTATAATTATACTACAAAGGAGCCCAAAACCCTATTCTAATTATTAAGGCCCCTAAACCCTAAACCCTTATAATAGCCCTTAAGGAATCCTTTAAGGAACCATATTAAGGCCCCTAAACCCTAAACCCTTATAGTA